TGCTCCGGGCGAACAGGGCTGGCAGAGTCCAGGCTGCAGGCTGTCCCCTCCTCCCCGGAGCCCAGGAGGGCCGTGTCCCCCCCGTCCTGCCCCACTTCCCGCCCGACTCCCGGCTCCTTGGGGCACCAGAGGACCCCACAGTTGGGGTGGAAGCAGGGTTTGAGCTGGAGCGAGTGTGCTTGTCAGCACTGGTGGTCCTGGGGGGCCGAGGGGGAGCAGGAGGGGGCAGGCGGAGGGGCAGGCACCAGGAAGGCCACAGCCTCAAGGGTCATCGTCCTCCATCCCCGGGGGAGGAGGATCCTGTCTGAGCAGCTGCTGCCTGAAGCAGGCGTCTCCTCTCCTCCTCCCAGAGGCAGAGATAGGAGGGAAGGTTGAAGTGCTGCGTGAGGGGGTGCGGCAGGAGGGGTGCAGCACGAAGGGGGTGCAGCAGGAGGGGTGCTGCGTGAAGGGGGTGCAGCAGGAGGCGGGGGCGCCCTCAGCCGTGTCCCCGCTGCTTTGGTCCGCCAGCTGTCGCGCCTTCTGTTCGGAGCTTTTAAAAGCAGCAGCCGGTGTGGTGCCGGGACGCGGCACAGTCCTGGGCCCGTGCGACAACACATCTATTCATACACGCACACACGCGTGTGCCCGCCTAGCTTTCCGGATGCACACACACTGCACCTGTGACCGGACCAGGTCCCGTGACATCGCGGGGACCCTGTCCCCAGCCGGGCTACGCACAGGACTCGGGTCCCACTGTGCCCCAGAGGAACCAGACCGCCGCCGCCACCCCTCCTGGGGGAGAGGGGCGTACACCCACCCCCTGCTCCGCTCAGCACTGGAGGCTGCCAGCCCCTCTGCTGCTCCAGGCTTCCCAGGGAAATGGACCTGGGACCTGCACAGGCGGGCCGTGCGGGCGGGTCCCTCCGCGCACCGTGCGTTCGCTGTGGCTGGTCAGAGCCCCCTTGCTGTGCTGATAATGAATCCCGCTGTCAGACTGTGCCTCATTGTTCTCCCATTGATCCTGTGGGACGGGGGGCTGGTCTGCTTCGGGGCTGCTGTGGACATGTGTGTACACGTCTGTGTGAGTCTGTGTCCAGGTCCCCGGGGTGCACACCGAGGGTGGATTGCGGGGTCACCCGGTACCGGAACTGCTGGGCTGGCTTCCGAAGGGGCTGCACCGTCAGATCCCGCCTCCCGCCCAGGAGGTCCGAGGGCTCTGATTTCTCCAAGTCACCAACACCTGTTGTGTTCTTTCTTTAAAAATATGTTTTTATTGATCTCAGAGAGGAAGGGAGAGGGAGAGAGAGACAGAAACATCAGTGATGAGAGTCATGGATCGGCTGCCTCCTGCATCCGCCCCCACCATTGGGGATCGAGCCCGCAACCTGGGCCTGTGCCCTGACTGGGAATCGAACCGTGACCTCCTGGTTCACAGACAGAGCTGGGGGACCCTTTCCGGGCGGCGGGCCCTGAGCCACTCCCAGCCTCTTGTGTAGATGGCCAAGCCACCAGCCTCTGGCCCACACAGACCTGCTTCTTCTCTGTTCTCCCCGCGGAGCACCGGGCACAGGCCCCCCAACCCCCGTGTCTGCTTCTCTGTGCAGCGGCTCCCCGGCCGGGGCCTGCTCCGCGGACAAGGCCGTGCCGGAGGCGGCCCCCGTGGCCACGAGAGAGAAGATCCGGTCCAGGTTCCACGGCAGCCACGACCTGATCCATCGCCTGTTTGTCTGCATCTCAGGTGCCACGTGCGGGCCTGGGCGGTGTGGGCTGGTGGGTGTGGGCTGTGCTTCGGGGGAGCAGCTAGTGCCCGTGGGGCTGAGGTCGGCTGCGGGTGACATCCTGACGATGATGAGATGATGTTGGGGGGTGCTGGCTGATGTCGGGGTGCAGGGGTGCCCGGCCCTGTCCGCGGGCCCCCGCTCTGTCTTGTCATCGCCCCACGCCCTGCGATGCGCCCTGCGCCCAGCAGAGAGCAGGCTTTGTTCGCTGTCAGGGTCCCCCCCCCATGGCCCCTTGGGTTCAGAGTCCGTCTGCGTCCTGACTAGTTTGTCTTTCCTTCCTCCACGGCTCACAGAAAGGCGGGGGGTGGCTGTTTTGTCCCCCAGGGGGTTCAGAGAGGGCATGAGCAAAGGGCGCCTTGTTCATGGTTTCCTTTGGTTTTGTGTGTTTTAAATGAGTACAAACCCAGGTGGTTCAGAAGTATACAGTGTGGGGTCCCCCCACACGCGCCCTCCCCACCCGCCCGGGGAGGGGCTTAGGCAGTGCCTGTCCTGCTGTGGGCTCTGTCCCCCCACCCTCCGGTGCCCCCTGT